CCCGCAGCAGCGGGCACACGTGTGCGGGCGCCAGCGCGGAGCCGCCGCGCGCCCCCGCGGGAGGCTCTGCGCTCATAATAGCAAGGTGTCCTGCCAAGTTCCTTCCAGCAGCCCACGGCTTCATTCAAAGTGACAGGGGGCCTGATTTATTATCCTAACGAGCCAGCGATAAATAAACATGACCTGAGAGAATCCCGGGCCCACAATTCCTTTCTTGTTCGGCTCCTTGGGGGACATGAAAGGTTTCCTGCAGTTTCCCAGTGCTGCCCACTCGCCCCTGCTCCGGCTGCCAAGCTTTCTGCCGCTCTCGCGCCCGGCATTTCATCAAATTGACAGGAGCGCCTTATTAATTGCACTAATGAGGCACTCGGCAGTTCGAAGTGGTGGGGGAGGCCCGTGCAGCTCATGCAATGCGGAGCAGCACCGAGCAGTGGGTCACAGCGTGGCCAGCAGAGCCGCGAGCGCCGCACGGGGATAAGCACCACGCCGGGATAAGCACCACGCCGGGATAATCACCGCTCCGGCAAAGCTCTGCAGCCCGGAGCAGGAGCCGGGGTCCCACGAGCCGGTGGCAATGTGGGAGCTGCCCTGGGCTTGAGTGAGTGTCCCCAGCGCCGTCCCGGCGAGTGCTGGACGGGGCTGATTAGAGCCAAGAGCAGCCGGGATTTGGCACGCGGGCGCTCGCGGGAGCTCTGATCTCCTGAGACCGCGGCTCCCGCTGCGCACTTACCGTCGAGCCCCGAGGGCTTACGGTAACAAACAGGGATGTTTTTGCTCCAGTAGGAAAGAAAATGGAAAACAGGACAGATCCTGATCCTTATCGTTGGAGCCACCATGAGCTCCCCCGGAGCCCTCGGAGCTGCCCCGCTCCGGAGCCTTGTTCCCGGATGCTGCTGGGCACTGGCCCCGCTCCACAGCCCAGCTCTGCCCCAAGCCAGCACGGCGGGAAGCTCTGGCGCAGCCCTGACCGCACGGCCCTGTCCAGGTCACGCTGCGCTCCAGGGAACCCTGCGTTGGCTTGGGAAGCGCTGATGGGAGCCGCGGGCGTCTCTGCAGATGTGGGAAACAGTCCCGGTGTCTGGGCAAGCTGGCTCTGCCGGAGCCCGACCCAGCCTCCCGCCGGCCAGGGCTGCATCCTGGTGCATCCGAGCCAATGGCTCCCTGCCCTCTCCCCTTCCCTCCACCTTGCCTGACTCCAAGCACTTCTGTTTCCATCTGTGCAGTGGGAGCCCGGCTCAGATTTCCAAGGTGGAAAAGCAACTTCCCTTGTAACATGTTCCCAGCCGCGCCGGCCAAGTGGAGCCTCGCAGGCCTCCGAGCGCATGGGGTTTGGAGACACAAGGTTCCTGCACAGCACCCGGCACGGCAGAGCCCGCGGGCCCTGTGCTGCTCTGAGCCCGGCTCCCCGCACCAGCTGGAAATTCACTTGGGAAAAAACCCTTGAGTCTCATAAGTACCGAGCCTGGCGGGCGGCCAGCGATCCGGAGGCTCCAAAAGCATAGCCCAAATTTGCAGCTGGCCACGCTCCCTGCCCGCTTTGGCACCGCGCTGGTGCTGAGCACCTGCCAAGGCCCGGAGCGGCCGCCCGGCACGGTGCGTGTCCCGGCCCCGCTGCCCGCGCGCACGGAGGGTCTGGCCCCGGAGCAGCTCCGGGCCCCGCAGAGCTCCCGGGAGAGCCGCCTGCAAGGGGCGAAGCTGGGGGTGCAGGGCAGCCCCCCCGCGGCGCCGCGCGCACGATGCTAATCCTGCACGGCCAGGGGTCTGGCCTGGCCCTGGCTTCCCTTCCCGGGAAGGGGCATCACGGCAGCCGTAATTGGATCCCAGGATTTGCCCAGTGATACTGGGTATTATTGCATGGCCGTGGCGCCGACGTTAATCTCGTTAATGGCGTTACGTGGCCACGTGCACGGGGGCTCCGGGCTGTGCGGCTGGCGCACAGGGGTGCTGCCAGGCCCAGCTCTCCAGTGGGACCCATCCCGCCGGGATGCCTGTGCAGGGGGATGCAGCGGGATGCAAATCCCAGCGCCTCCCCACGCTCCCCGCAATGCGCTGGCGACGCTCCGGAGGCGCGACCCA